GCGGTGCAGGGCGGTGTAATGCGGTGCAGTGCGGTGCAGTGCGGTGCCGTGCGGTGTAGTGCGGAGCAGAGCGGTGCCGGGCGGTGCAGCACGGTGTAGAGGAGCCGAGGACGGCAGCGAGACGTCTAGAAGACGGGGCCGGGGTGGCAAGGCGACGGGGCCGGCAAAGAGGCGGGGCCGGCAAGGAGACGGGGCCGGCTGGGCGACGAGGCCGGCTAGGAGGCGGGGCCGGCTGGGAGGGGAGCCGCGGGGTGACGGGGTCGTGGGGCCGCGGGCCGCTAGGGACGGGGCCGCGGGGCCGCTAGGAACGGGCCGCGGGGCCGCTAGGGGGACGGGGCCGTGGGGCCTCTATGGGACGGGGCCGCGGGGCTGTGGGGCTGCTAGGGACGGGGCCGCGGGGCCGCTAGGTGACGGGGCCGCGGGGCCGCGAGGTGACGGGCCGCTAGGGGATGAGGCCGCGAGGCCGCTAGGGACGGGCCGCGGGGCGCTAGGGACGGGCCGTGGGCCGCTTGGGGACGGGGCCGGCAGGGCCGCTTGGGGACGGGGCCGCGGGGCCCGCTAGGTGATGGGGCCGCGGGCCGCTAGGGGCGGGGCCGCGGGGCGGGCCGCTAGGGGACGGGGCCGCGGGGCCGCTAGGTGACGGGCCGCGGTGCGACGAGGTGGCTAGGACCTAGGGCGGAAGCGCTAAGGGGGGGAGGGGGGGACCTACCTACTCATGATACCATGTTCAAGCGAAAGAATGTTAGAACAAAGGCATACAAGGGAATATAACCTAATGGGTTGTACTCCCTAAGGCACAACCCTATATAGTCTACAGAAACATACAATATATGTTTTGACAATGAACCCACCATAATCCCTACCTACGTGAGGTTTGGCGATTTCGGAATGTGTGCGACGAGGTTCCCAAAGCCACACGCGATAATTTTTGACAGGGAAAGACATCAGCAACTAAGGCGTATTCGGTCGTATGAGTTCTTCCCTACAACCCCCTATGAAATTTAGAGACATAGGGCTCAGACGCAACTTGCAACGAAACGCAAGCTGGTGCGCCAAGTGAGAGCACACTGCGACTTGGAAATTTCCGTCACCATACCGGGATGTTATGAATTAGAACTCACAGTATAGACATAATACTATAGGGGAACGTGATTACAGCATGACGATATAAATGAGGCCTAGGGCTTATATAGTGCGAGTTGATCAGGGTTGAATGCCAAGGGTTGGACCAGTCAAGGGCTCGACAGTCCCGAGGGTGACGGGTTCAAAATGGGTTCGGGGCGACTCGGGATCAGGTTGGGGCCGAAAGGATCGACGGGGGTTGGTTTGGCGCGAGACTTGAGGCCGAGCCTGCGGAACCGAGAGGTTCGCGTGTACTCGCTGTGGCAAGCCCTAGTAAGGAATCGTAATTCCTTACACTCTCCCACCTTCGAAAGGAAGGCCCTCCCTTTATCGAAGCCGAACAGTCATTAAAAGTAAACCCCGATGTGACTGTAAGTCTTCAGCCCTACGATGAGCGTAATGATTACACCGCCAGACGAGGTCTTGAGGTGGAACTGAAATCGATGGTCAGAAAGCGTCGAAACGATCGCTTTTAATATCGGCCGTCGAAGTTGGTCGAATTCTTCTGCTGACCAAACGGGCAAGGGTAAATAATCCAGTGGAAGACAATGAACATTGAAACTGTCGAGTGGTCGATTGATGATGGCGCGTGGCAGATGAATATCTTGAAATGATGACTGGCGAATAATGTGATGGTCGATGAAATGAAGAACCCGTTCATCAAACGCGAGGTCGTTCGAGTCACGTGCACGAGCACGCGTCCGTGTTCCACGAAAGTCGGTGAACTCCATCAACGAAGTGACGAAATTAGGCGCGGAAGCATAACGGTGACGAATGATGCTCAAAGATGGATGATGGAAAATTGCAGCACAGCTGCACTTCTACCCCCTTAAAGAAGAAACAGCTCCCATTTTCCCAGGTAGAACTCCAGGAAACCCAATGCTTCAGGGTAGTCGAAAGAATCCCATGCTGTTACTGAAAATTCTCATACTCAGCTTCCAAGATGTCGCTGCATAACTCCAACTGCGAGAAATCCCACACGGCTTCTTAAAGTTCCAGAAATCTATTTGGAAGATGCGACTGAAAATACTCCAACATGTAGATCTCCCAAAACTGCTTCAGAGTGGAAAAACTCCTCCTGGGTAAACCGCTACAAGGGTCTTGAAACTCAGAAGTAACTGCTCGGGAAGACTCCAGACGAACTAACAATTCTTCAGCAGGCAAACACTGCTTGTGAGCTGGCCCCAACACAGCTCCAACAGTACTGCGGCAAAAATCTTTTCGCTTCGATATTGCTGATGTAGATTCAGATGGCAAGGCGGGATCGTATTCACACAATCGGGCAAAGCACGTGAATTGACGATGGAGGCGGTAGAGGGTAGTGACGAGAGGAAGACGACGACGGCGATGACCTGTAACCTGTACCGAATCACTCCAGTGAATATCCTCAAACAGAACCCAGGGTCGAATGACGCCAGCTGCATCAGCTTCTTTGTCCATACACCGCCGAAAAAATCGGGAAGAACCGAAAAGAGCTACTGCCCTCCCTCCGCTCCATACTGTTAGAAATAGACTGCAAATACCCACTTTTGTATTTGTACTTTTATATCCTAGTTTAGGTTTATGAATGTTCCAGTGGGTTTGGGGTGTACTCACAAATCCCAACCTCACCCAATTGTGATCCCCCCAATCTCCAATTACCCAATTAAAGTTTTTGGAGATCCCAATGGGGATTCCCTCCAATTCTCCCTTCATCCATTCACTCTCACCTTGCCATGTACTTATAGAGCCTGGGGCTCCTTACCTTATCAATCATTTCAACTCTATTTCTTACATGGTATCAGAGCGACCTATCCGCACACGCGGATCAAGGTCCTAATCTTAACGTGCCCGCGCTGTAAGAAATAGAGTTGAAATAATTGATTAGGTAAGGAGCCCAAGGCTCTATAAGTACATGGCAAGGTGAGAGAGAATGGATGAAGGGGGAATTAGAGGGAATCCCATTGGGATGTCCGAAATCTCCAATTGGGTAATTGGAGATTGGGGGATCACAATTGGGTGAGGTTGGGATTTGTGAGTACACCCCAACCCACGAGAACATTCACAACCTAAACTAGGATATAAAAGTACAAATACAAAAGTGGTATTTGCAGTCTATTTCTAACATGCGCTACGCGCATTTCATCGTCGCGACATTCGTTTCGAATCTTCGGAATTTCGACGTGCTCCACTCTGCAATCGCGCTTCTCATCGTCGACCGCCTTCGCGCTCGACCTCGTTGAATTTCTCATCTCTGAAGCTTTCACGCTTCTCATCGTCGATTTCCTCCTCGGTTCTCCTTGGTCGAATCTTAAAACTCGTTCTCGAGTTTCCCCTCAGACCCCGCCAGAATAGGCGAACTCCCCTCGCGAAATCGCCTCCACGAACGTCTCGCGTCAAATCAAGAGCAGGTACACAGGTTGAAGCGGAGCGGAGCTGGTTGCGGAGCTGGTTGCGGAGCTGGTTGCGGAGCTGGTTGCGGAGCTGGTTGCGGAGCTAGTTGCGGAGCTGGTTGCGGAGCTGTGTAGCTGCGGGACAGGGCCTGGGGGTGTGTGGGGGGTGTGTGGGTCCGGGGTTAGACATAGGCTCAGATTCAGTTTCAAGTCGGCGTTTTAACGAATTTTCGCCGACGCCATTTCCTACTTAGCGGCATTTTGATACAGCCGTCAGAGTGATTTTCAGCAATTCTCGTCGACCAATTTCCAGAAGTGCCGCGCTGCACACCGACAATGGCTTACTCAACCACTTCACTCGCCAACCCGATCCCGCTCCTTCGTCTCGAGCCGGACGGTACATGCTCCAACTACAAGGCTTGGCGCTATGGTGTCGACAAGCACCTCCTCAGTCGCGAGGTGAAGGGGCTCGAGCTCACCGACGTCCTTCTCAACATCGGTGACGGCAAAGAGCCTCCTAAACCCGAGAGGTCCGCCGATCCAGCTAATGCCGCCGCCGAAGCAGTTTATGCTGCTGCACTGCTCAAGTACAAGAATTGGGAGAAGGCCGATGGTGCGGTCATTAGTGTCTTCATGGGCACCACTCCTCCCGAACTCGTCGAAACCTACCACAACTACCCGTCTGCCAACGCCATTTGGCTCTACCTCGAGGATCGCTTCCTGAACAAGACTGCAGTGGGAGTTGCTATACTCATCCCCAGCATGTTCCAAGTGCGGCTCGAGGACTCGCCAGGCATGGCGGACTATGTCACCAAGGTGCAGTCCATTCATGGTGAACTCAAACAGTTGGGGATAGTCTTCCCCGAGCAAGCCCCTGCAGCCGCTCTCCTAGTCGGCCTCACTCCGGCATACGAAGTCACACGCAAGATGCTCTTGGGCCTTGCTCCTGCAGACCTCACATTTGCCAAGGTCTCATCGCGCTCCTTTCTGCCGAAAAGGACAACAGCGCTCAAGCCAAGGCCAATGCAATCCGCGCTCCCGTGCCTCAAGCCTATGCCGCTTCGGCGCCATTCCAGCGCAACCGCTTCCCCCCGTGTCCCTATGTCATCAAGCGCGGCCCTCGTGCCGGCCAGGTGTGTGGCGGCACCAACCACGCCCTTGCCTCCTGCTTTAAGAAGAAGGATGACGAGTGGTATGTGTCAATGGGACCGCCTCGAAGCCGCCAAGCTGGATGGTCAATCGTGCTCCTCGCCAAGTCAATCAAGTCGAAGCGCAGGAATCCGTGCAGGCTGCTGTGGCTGTACCTGCTGATGTGCGCCTCAACATGTTGTTCCCTGGCACTGCCATGATTAATGAGACGATTTCGCAGTATCGTGGCTCACAAAGCACCTCAGCACAATAGAGTTCACCCTCGACAGTGGGGCCACTCACACGGTTCTCAAGGAAGAACACTCCTTCAAGCCATACGAGACACCAATCCGTCTACTTGGAGCAGACTCCAGTTTCACAACACACGCCAAGGGCTCCTCCACAGTTCCGTGCCCAGCTTTTCCTTCGGGCAGTGTGACCGGCATGTGTGTTCCCACACTACGCCACAATCTCGTGGCCCAACACGAGCTCCAACGGGCAGGCGTCACCACGATCTTCCCAGCACACTCGGATCACTGTGACCTCTTCGACCCTAAGTCCAACAAGCTCCTAGCACGCTTCACACTCAACAGTAGCAAGCTCTACACGCTGCGTTCACCTGCACCTCTCGCCGCCCTCTCCCAAGCGCAAGCTGCCAGCACCACTCCGTGTTCGTGTCGCAGCTTCGCCAACCCAACCATCCTCTACCACCATCGCTTGGGTCACCCCAACTTCCGTACACTTGCCGACATCGCTTCCAAGAAACTTCTTCTTGGCCTCCCGTCGGCGCTTCCTCCACCAACAGACTCACCTGCACCCACCTGCCTGGACTGCACCAAGAGCAAGCTCAGGCAGCAGCCGCACCCTTCCTCCCCATCCGTCGCAGCTGCTCCGCTGGACCTAGTGCACATGGATGTCTGGGGCCCAGCTCCAGTCGCATCCCGAGGCGGTCATCGGTACTTTCTTACACTAGTCGATGACCACTCGTGGTATGTTTCTGTGCACCTCCTGCATACCAAGGCGGAGGCACCTGATGTCATCATGGCGTGGGTGCGCCAGGCTCAAGTCACGTTCGGCACTCCTCTGAAGTGCCTCCATTCTGATGGCGGGGGAGAATTTCGCAATGGCAAACTCGATAACTTCTGTGCGGCCCAAGGGATTCGGCAAACCTTCACGCTCCCCAAAAGCCCGCAGCAGAACGGCATTGCAGAGAGCCGCAACCACACCTTGGTTCAGATCGCTCGCTGCCTCCTCAGTCACGCCAACGCACCACGGTCACTCTGGGGATATGCCCTCTTCCATGCGGCACTCCTCTACAATCTTTATCCGCATCCCCACCGGCCCGACACCACACCTACCGCTCTCTGGCTTGGGGTCACGCCTTCCGCCCGCTCTCTACGCGTCTGGGGGTGTACCGCGTATGTGTTGCTAAGCCCCCACACGCGCAGGAAGCAAGGTGGCAAGCTTGGTCCCAAAACCCAGACCTGCATGTACCTGGGGCACAACTCCGACTCCCCAGACTACTTATTCCTCAACCCAATCACCAGACAGCTGATTCGCAGCCGTGATGTCGTCTTCGATGAGACACGCCCATTCCACTCTGCGACCACGGGCGAGCCTCCTCCACCTCCCCCGACGCTTGTTTGGGCAGACTTCGATGCCCCACCTCCGGCCGCTGCCCCTTCTCCGGGGCCTTCTCCGTCCGGCGTGTCTCACCCGGCCTCCCCAGTATCCTCCGCAGCGGCACCTCCTCCTGCTCCGCCTTCCCCGCGCGTCGAGCCCGGCTCACCAGTCTCCTATCGGAGGCGCCCAGTCCCTCCGGTCCCACCGCAGCCGCCTTCGTCTCCGGTCTCTAGTCGCACTCGTTCCAAGGGACCGGCTCCGCCTCTCGCCTGGGGACCAGCCGCCTTCTCCATCCGGTGTTCGGTCACCCCGCCTCCTCCTGCCGGGGGTGATGTCCCCTCCATCCGTATTCCCCCCCGGCACTTCTGGAGGACAGGCATGAGGAGCTGTTTGACCTTCACGCGGTCTGCCAATTTCTCTCTCACATCTTCCTGGACATTACTGACTGCCCTTCCCTCAACTTCACCCAGTGTATGGCCTCAAGCAGGCTCCTCGTGAGTGGCACAACAAGGTGAAGGAAGTCCTCCTCGCACTTGACTTCCATCCCTCTGCCTCAGATTCCAGTCTCTTCGTTCGTCACTCCTCCGAGCCCTTCTACATCCTCGTCTACGTCGACGACTTCATTCTAGCCGCCAGAGATCCAGCCGACATGGCAGCTGACCAGTCTGCTCTCAGCTCCGCCCTTCTCGTGAAGGATCTTGGTGACCTCAAGAACTACCTGGGGATGGAGATCACTCGTGACCGCCAGGCTTGCACCATCACCCTCTCCCAGAAGTCCTACATCGACAACCTTCTCAAGCGGTTCGACATGGACTCCAGTAACTCTGTCTCCACTCCACTCCCACTACAGCATCAGCTCACGACCCCTCCAGTTCCTTCTCCTGACGCCTGCAAGGACCCGTACCCTGAGCTAGTCGGTTCAATCATGTATGCCCATGATGTGCACTCGACCAGACTTGGCTTACCCGGTTAGTGTCCTCTCTCGGTACGTCTCCCCCGGACGCTACACTGCCTTGCATTGGTCTGCAGCCAAGAGGGTCCTCCGCTATCTACAAGCCACCAAGTCTCACATCCTCACTCTTGGTGGTACCTCTCCAGTCAAGCTCGAGGGATACACAGACTCCTCATGGGCCGATGACCAGACTGACAGACGCTCCTCCCAAGGGTACTGCTTCACCCTTGGTAGCGGAGTCATCAGCTGGCGCTCCACTCGTCCTCTGCAGTCTCCCCTGTCGTCCTGCAAGGCCGAGCTCTACGCGGGCACAATGGGCTGCTCAAGAGGCACGCTGGCTCTCCTTTCTCCTCACTGAGTTAGGCTACCCCTAGCAGTCGCCCACCCTGTGGTGTGACAACCAGAGTGCCATTCACCTCACCAAGGATCCTGTGTTCCACTCTCGCACCAAGCACATCGAACTTCGTCATTTCTTCATCCGAGATCTTGTTCAGAGTGACCAGCTGACGGTAGGGTACATCGCCTCAGATTGCAACCTCGCCGACCTCTTTACCAAGGCTCTCGGCAAGGCTGACCACCATCGTCTTCTCCGTTCCATGGGGCTATGTGCTCCTTTATCGGGTTTGCAGTCTATGGGGGTGTGTTAGAAATAGACTGCAAATACCATTTTTGTATTTGTACTTTTATATCCTAGTTTAGGTTATGAATGTTCTAGTGGGTTGGGGTGTAGTCACAAATCCCAACCTCACCCAATTGTGATCCCCCCAATCTCCAATTACCCAATTGGAGATTCCGAAGATCCCAATGGGGATTCCCTCTAATTCCCCCTTCATCCATTCACTCTCACCTTGCCATGTACTTATAGAGCCTTGGGCTCCTTACCTTATCAATCATTTCAACTCTATTTCTTACACATACAACCAGAACACTCCGCACATGTCGGTCAATGTCGCTCGTACTCTTGAAGATAGCGGGCACAACTCCAGCTGTAAACTCTTGAACTGCTCCTCAAACCCGCCGAAAATGTCGGAACCACTTGGTACTTAGCAAATACCGTACCTCCGCTTCACCGCTACCCGTAAAAATGCCCAAGCGTCACGGCGTCCTTTAGCAGCGCCCCCACGGTTTCTCCACCAGCTGTACGCATGAACGGAACCCTTTATATTAGGGTTTACCTGAGTCCACCGCCTCGGCATGATGTTTTGGCCGTCGATTGGGGTCAATGCGCATGATACGCCGTCGAACTCCGCGCAGCTGTTACCCAACTTTAAAATACTCTGGTACCCCTATCCAGCTAGCCGTGCAGACGTTCACCCATCTCGCGGCTGCTGCAGGATACCCAAAACCGCATTGTTGTTGCTTAACTAACTAGGAGAATCCGCAGAGATAGGAGTGCGCACGCTTCTAGTCAGAGGTGCTTTAACGAGCTCGCCTACTGACCGCTGGACAGCTCCCTCCTCCGTCGGAAACTCGTCAAACTACACCCGCAAAAGTCGGAACCTCCTTCTGCTGCACCAGGTGAAAATCCCTCATCTCCATTGCAACAAGAACTCCAAAAATTTTGGGGTCACTCCATCAGCACAGCGTAGTTCGCAGGTTCAGTCCCCTTATTCGGCCAGAAGCCGTCGATCAATAAGTCGGCACAACTACCTGGTGGGAATGGTGATTTCTGGGCAACGTAGCTGAGCAAGTAGCAGCCCGAATGCCACTAACCCATCTGCTCTAGTACTCCCGTCGTTCTTCTCCCACTGCTTCAAATCCTGGCAGTGAACGCTTTCGGCGACCGGTGGAAAAACACTTAATACAGACCCAGGGGTGGTGGCCTCCCTTTACGTTGATCGTGGGGGTATGAATCGCTGGTCCACGAAAAACGCCTCCCCACGGGGGAAGTCGCCCTCGCCGAGTACACTCACTCCAGTACAGCGTCATCACCTCCAGATGGCCGTCGTGGTGATTAGCGCCGAGGTCGTTAATCCCAGCTGCTCCCAGATAACTGTACACCCACACGTCCTCGTGCGACCGTGTCATTCCAAAATTGTCGTATCCGCCCATTGCCGAAACAGTTTTGAAGTCCCGTCCATCGCCTGCAACTAGCCTGCCGGAAACGTCGGGACCCGCGAGACAGCTACAGTTCACCGTGCAACTTCATGGCGCACCAGACGTACATCGTCGTACATCCTGCCATTTTCGCCACCCCGCGCGTTCCTGACGACCAACTCCCGGCCGCCTGAGGACTCTTGTCCTCGTAACGAAGCCTTCGCTTTTTTCGGAAGCCAATCTGAAGACTCCATCCGAACACCCAGAAATTACGAAAGCTCTGACGAACATACCCGAAAAACACGGCGAAAACGTCGCCCACTTTTCGACGGGAAATAATTCCGTCTACGCCCGGGGAAGGGGAGGACCACCAATCCCAGCCGTCCATCGAACAGGATCTGACGGCATCGGCAACGCCCGCACAATTAATTTCCGCGACGTCCGCTCGCCATCAGCATCCTTCCGCCCCCTTCCCCGATAGGGTTTGCTCCCCTACCGGAAGCCTAATGGGCAGGAATGTAGCTTTGATACCAGCTGTTATGGATTATAACTCAGAGTATAGCGCAGAATACTCTAGGGGAACGTGATTACAGCATGATGATAGAAATGAGACCTATGGCTTATATAGTGCGAGTTGACTAGGGTTGAATGTCGAGGGTTGGACCAGTCAAGGGCTCGACAGTCCCGAGGGTGACGGGGTCAAAATGGGTTCGGGGCGACTCGGGATCAGATTGGGGCCGAAAGGTTCGACGGGGGCTGGTTTGGCGCGAGTCTTGAGGGCCGAGCCTGCGGAACCGAGAGGTTCGCGTGTACTCGCTGTGGCGAGCCCCAGTAAGTAATCGTAATTCCTTACACTGGACGTCCCACAAGACTCGAGAACGAAACGTTACTCATACTAGGGAC